ATTAAATAAATAAAATCTTTTTGAAAATTAATGTTACTTGTTTCTTTTTGACTTTTTAAATCATTTTTATTGAGGTACAATTTACATGATAAATTGTATGAACTGTAAATGTATAATTCTATGAGTTTTGACAAAAATATATATCAGTGTAGAATAATTCCATCACCCTAGAATATTCCCTTGTGTTCCTCTTTCCAGCCAATTTATAACTTCATAAGTTCTACTCCCAGCCCTATTCAACCACTGATGTACTTTCTATTTTTACATTTTGCATTCGTCTTTTTTGTTTTTTTTTTGTTTTTGTTTTTTGGTGGTACTATTTTTTATTTAAGTTCAATTAATTTATAATGTATTACTAGTTTCAGAAAGGTAGAGGCCAGTGATTTATCAGTCTTACATAATACCCAGAGCTCATTACATCACATGCCCTCCTCAATGTCCATCATCCAATTACCCCAGCCCCCCACCTCCCCATATTCAACTTTAGTAAGTTTAATATAAATGTAATCATATAGTATGGACACATTTGTGCCTGCCTTCTTTTGATCAATATAATGTTTTTGAGGTTTCATCCATGTTATGTGAATCATAGTTTATTATTTTTTCCTTTTTAAGTAATGTTTTATTGTATGGCTATACTGCAATTTATTTATTCATTCATTTGTTGGTGGACATTTGGGTTGTTTCACATTTGGGGCTATCATTATTAAAGGTGCAATGAACATCTGTGTAAAAATCTTCATGTAGACATTGTTTTCACTTCACTTAGGAGTAGAATTGCTGGATCTGGGGATCCCTGGGTGGCTCAGCGGTTTAGAGCCTGCCTTTGGCCCAGGGTGCGATCCTGGAGTCCCGGGATTGAGTCCCATGTCAGGCTCCCAGCATGGAACCTGCTTCTCCCTCTGCCTGTGTCTCTGCCTCTCTCTCTCTCTCTCTATGTCTATCATAAATAAATAAATAAATAAATAAATAAATAAATAAATAAATAAATCTTAAAAAAAAAAAGAATTGCTGGATCTTATAGTCAAGTATTTTTAACTTTGTAAGAAATTGCCACTTTCTTTTCTTTTTTTCCAGATTTATTTTATTTATTTTAGAGAAAGAGAATGAGCGGGAAGGGGAAGGAGAGGGAGAGAATCTCAAGCAGGCTCTGCACTGAGTACAGACCCCACACAGGGCTTGATCCCATGACCCTGAGATCATGACCTAAGCTGAGACCAAGATTTGGACACTTAACTGACTGTACCACCTAGATGCCCCTCTTTTTCTTTTCTTTTTTTTTTTTTTACATTTACCTATTTAGACCATGTGGTGGGGAGAGGAGCAGAGGGAGAGGGAGAGAGAGAATGCAATGCTCAAATGAAAATCCAGGCTGTGTTTAAGAGTCATTCTAGTCATCACCATTCCATCCATAATAAAGAAGGAAAAAACATATCTGGACCAAAAATTTTCTCATAAGAAAGAAATTTAAGTGGAAGTTCCAGACATCTTATTTGCTCTCAGTACTTTGTTAAGAACCTAATCACACAGCCTCAACTAACTGTAAAGACAGCTGGGAAATGTAGTCCCTAGTTGGGCAACCAGCCTCGGCAATACCTCTGGAAGTAGGAAATGCAGTTCTTCCGTAGGCAATCTATCTATAGGTATGGAAGAAGGAGGGAACAGATTTTTTTCAAAGACTCAATGAAAACATGAAAGGAAAGAGAATCCTTTAGGATAATGTGGTAGGAGACCCTAGGAAGACAGTTTAATACCAGAGGTCGAGGGCAGACTAGAAGTCCAGACTGGAACAGGTCCTAAAAGCTCAGGAAAAGATATCCAAACACCAATAAAAATAAATTTATATAAAAAAATATATCCAAGAAAATATGTCTAAACACCTAGAGAGGAAATTTAGGCAACTGATGGAAAACGTGCATTATCCATTCGGCAACCATTTATTGTGCGCCTATGTTGTGCTAGGCACTGTTCTAGGTGCTAGAAAATAAAACTGTATAGATACCCAAAATCATTGCTTCAAGGATCTTACAATGTAGTGGAAATTCTTGTGCAGCTGGGGTCTAATTAATAACAAGTATGTAGAAAACTAGCGAATGTTTAAAAAAAAATTACCCCACTCTGAAGTCAATTACATTCAACTCTTTCAGTTGATTCTTTCAGTATTTGTTTCTAAATTAACATGATTACATTCCCACTTCTGAAGTTTTCCCTGTTTGCATTATGTGTTGACTTCCTAGATGAACAATGAGGATTTTGCCCCTTTTGATCTTTGTCTTCATCATATATATGAAGCCTTTACCCCAACCTCTCACTAAAGTTAAATTATAATGTTGGTTAGATCAACATTCACATTTTAACATTATTATGATTATATGAACACTATTAGTAGCCAAGTCATATAATAAATTATCATTATTTTAATTTTTCTTTATAAGCTTTGTTTTCCTAGGCTTGGAACACTCTTCTCACATACTTTCTGCCTAGTTAACTCTTAGGTATCTTTTCGAGTCCTAATTAAATGTCATATTTTAGGGAAGCCCTCAAGGATCCTTTTCCTTTACCCTACAAAGGTAAATGGGATTACTTAATGCCCTCCTTAACAATTCAAGCTTGGAGTGGGGGCAGAAGTGCTGTTCCTGGTGGTGGGGGAAGAAAATCATGCCATAGCGATGTACTCTTTGGACCCTGCTGTGGCCTCTTACATTTTCATAACTACTTATTAGTAGTATCAAATGCGTTCCTACAGAAAAATTAAATGTTACAGTCATTCATATTATAAAATAATGACATTTTTAGAGCATCACAGTGTCTCGTTAAGTATATCTGAGTAACCATCTAAAACTGAAGTGTCCCTAGTCACTGCTGACTTGGTATCCAATTGCAATTCATATAAAGCAAATCTTAGATTATTATGACTTAAAAGCAGACATTTTCATGTCTGCATACATTTAATTTGTATGTGACAGGTCCTGAAGCTAAAATATGGGATTTCTCCATTTAATACCAGGGATTTGGCAACCCTCTCTGCTAAAAAAAATAAATGAATGAATGAAGTGGTAGTAGTGCCCTGGATTTGAAACTAAATTTTCTCAACTCACACAAACTCACAGGAGCCAGATGTATAATCCAGTATGTTAATTAATTAGTTCACAATGAGAAGTACAAATTATACCCCCCTGCACTTTGCCCAAATTCGGGCTTGAAACTTACATTCAGTTTTTGTTCTTGGGCTCCCCACTTTCCAGATTCCATTCAGACCATCCTTCTGTTAACAAGCTCTATATTCGGCTGCTGATACCGCAGTTTTCCCAGGTACATTCCAGGCCTCGGAGAAACATGCTAGTTCATGGCTGAACTTGGATATTTTCCAAATATCCATACTAAAAGGTTACTCCTAGATTTGATCTTTTGTGTGTGCTGATGCCACTTCATTCTGAGGGTATCTCAATACAGGCACCTTGTTCTACTATGCTTTATTGCACTTCACAGATGTTGCATTTTTGTCTGTTTGTTTTTACAGATTGAAAGTTTGTAGGCATACCATTCGAAGCAAGTCTATTGATAGTATTCTTCCAAAAGCATTTGCTCACTGGGTATCTCCGTGACAGATTTTATAATTCTCGTGGTTTTTCAAACATTTTCATTAGTCCTGTATTTGTGATGAAGATCCATGATGGGTGATTATGATTTGCTGAAAGTTCAGATGACAGCATCTTTAAAAAAAAATTTTTATTTATGTGGGGGAGAGGAGCAGAGGGAGAGGGAGAATATTCAAGCCGACTCCCTGCTCAGCCCTGAGCTGGATATGGGGCTCCATCTAATGACCCTGAGATCATGAGCTGAGCTGAAATCAAGATGATGCTCAAAAGGGGACGCCTGGGTGGCTCAGTGGTTGAGCGTCTGCTTTCAATCAGGACCTGATCCCGAGGTCCAGGATCAAGTCCTGCATCAGGCTCCTTGTGGGGAGCCTGTCCCTCCCCCTCTCGTTCTGTCTCTTATGAATAAATAAATAAAATCCTTTTTTTTTTTTGTAAAAGATGATGCTTAAAAGACTGAGGACTGAGTCACCCAGGTGCCCCCAGATGATAGCATCTTTTAAGCAATAAACTATTTTAAAATTAATGTACTTTTTAAAAAAGACATAATGCTATGGCACACTTAATGGGCTACAGTACCGCCCACACATAATCCTTATCTGTACTGGGAACCCCAAAAATTCATTTGATTCATTTTACTCTGATTTTCACTTTATTGCGGTGGTGTAGTTAAGGAGCAGCATCTCTAAGGTATGCCTGCCTGTACACACCTTCTGCAGGAACCTGCCAGCCTCCAGGCAGAGGCCGACCAGGTACGTTTCCAGTCATGAGCTTGCCTCCTAATTAGGAACTGGTCCCTCTACCCTCCTGCTGGAGTTGACAGCAAAGGTCGCTTGGGATTTTTCAGAGTGCCCCTCCTGTGAATGTCTATCTCCCCCAGTGGGGTAAGACTTCATGCAACTGAAGGAAAGCCCCTGCATGGGTTTCAGGCAGGGCTCCAGAGAAAGGAGTAACACAAAAACAAAAAGCAAAAGCAGCACCAAGACGAGGTGGGTGGGCCCCCAGGGCTGTTTCACCCATTCATTTCGCCCAGAGAGGACCTCGAGGTCTCCTTGGGCTTGTGCTTTTTCAGGTTGCTGCGGCCTCCGACCTGGGCAAGGCGCTTATCAGGAATTAATAAATCAGACACAGGCAGTCCCCCCACCCCCGTCCCTTCCCACCTGCACAGCGTGACCGGAGGCAACGCGCCTCCCTCGGGCCCCGACGCCGGGCTCCCTCCCCGACGCCCCGGGTGCCCTTCCTTTTGCCCGTCTCCAAGATGGCGTCCGGGGCGTCGCCGCCGCGTCGCGGCCACGCCCCGGCCGGCCCCGCCCCCGCGCGAGCCGGCCCGCCCCTCCTCCCGCCCGCGGGGCCGCGCCGCGCGCTCCCGCCGCCCCTCCCCGCTCGAGCTCCACCCAGGTCGCAGGCAGCGCGGTCGGCGGCGCCTATTTCCCGCCATTGTGCGAAGTGGAGGCTGGGGGCCCGCACGCGCCTCCCGCCCGCGGCCCGCGGCTCCTCGGCAGGCGCCGCCGCGGCCGTGGTTCCCCGAGGCGCGGGCAGGCCGGGCGGCGCGCGCCCCGAGGCTCGCGGTGCGTGGGAGGGCGGCGGGCGGCCGAGCCCCCGAGGAGGAGCCGCCGCGGCGCGGGACGCCGGGCCGCGCCGCCCCGGCCGCCGTCGGCGAGATGCCCTGTGGGGAGGATTGGCTCAGCCACCCGCTCGGGATCGTGCAAGGCTTCTTCGGTGAGTGGCGGCGCCGGGGGGGGGGGGGCGGGCCGGGCGGGCCGCCGAGTTTGCCGAGCCCGGGGCCCGGCCGCACGCGGGGCTCCCCGAAGGCTCTCGCGGCCGGCGGGCCTGCGCGGGCGGCGCCGAGGCTCCCACCTGCCCGATTCGCGGCTCGCGAGCGGCCAAGGTGACGCGGCGAGGAGCCGGCGGTGGCGGTGACCGCCGGCCTGGCTCCCGTCGGCGGCGCCCCGGGGCGGGGGGGGGGGCGTGCTCCGCGCCCCGCGCCCAGTGCCCCGCGTGCAGCAGCTCGCGCAGGGGGCGGCTCCTGACCCCCTCGGGGACCCGCCGGCACCGCGCGGGGAGAAGCGCTCTGCCTGCGGGGAGCCTGCAGGATATTTCAAAACTTCCGGTGTGTCGGGGGAGTGCTCGCTCGCCGCCCGAAGTTGGCTCTAACTACTCTTTATTACACGCATCCTCTCTGCGAGGCAAGATCGCGCGTCGGGGCTCAATTTTTCGTTTTCCTCTTACGATGACTTCAGAACCTGCCCGGTGGTATCCCGTCTGTCTGCTCCCGGGCCGGAGCTACGGCAAGAAATGTTGCAGCTGCCCCAAAAGGAGGTCCCTACGTAGAAAGAGCAGAAGACGCTGCAGACAAGCTTATTAGTACATTTTAGTTGCCGTTGATGTTGCAAGTGGTACTTTGCTGCTGGGCGTCCTTGAGGGAAAGATTTATTTATTATTTAGGCTTTGTGTGCGGGGCAGCTGGTCATTTTGGCCCTCGCCCTCCTCCTCTCTCGCACTCAGGAGCGAGCGGTGCGAGGCAAAGCCGAGATCGCTTAGGTTGCAGCACCTGGAGCGAACTTAGCTCCTGGTAGGAGTGGCCCTAGCTCAGCTGGAGCACCGCGGGGCTTTGGCGAGAACGCTTCAGGGGAAGCCAGATAGTCCAGCAGCTAAAAACCGGTGGCGTTAAACAGGAGTATTTCTTGCAGGACGGACTCAGCAGTTCTTTGTTCGTTTTCCCTATAATTTGAACTGGTTTAGTTTTCTGGTTTCCCAAGCCGAAACTAGAAGCAGCAAATTAGAAGGCCTGGGGAGGCATCCGGATGGTAGTCGGTGAACATGGAATGACCTGCTAAAGAAGAAGTCTAGAACTGTGTGTGTGTGTGTGTGTATGCATGTTTTTTAAAAGGCCCCCTCCCCCCCCCCCCAAATCACTATATCCATTGGGTGTTTTCAGGAAGGGGCATGTATACTTTTTTTTTTTTTTTAAGATTTTATTTATTTATTCATGAGCATACACAGGAGAGAGAGAGAGAGGCAGAGACATAGGAGGAGGGAGAAGCAGGTTCCACGCGGGACTCAATCCCGGGACTCCAGGATGGCGCCCTGGGCCAAAGGCAGGCGTTAAACCGCTGAGCCACCCAGGGATCCCCACATATATACTTTCTACTAAACTGATGTTCCCAGTGAATACTGAAACCCATAATCGATGTCCCAAATAAGGTCCCTTGAAATGTGAAGATTAAACTGCACGGTTGGTGGGTGTAGATGCATAGGTACTTTTTAGGGAAAGCCCATCAAAAGTAAAAAGTTTTTGCGCTTAAGGGTGAGGTTCCAGTTATGGCTATTTAAAAATTTATATAGCACAAATAATAATAGCGCAAATAGCACCTACTGTAGTCTGGATGAGTGAATGAGATGATTTCATATTTGATGTAGTTTTGAAAGTATTTGTTAGACTTTTGTGTCTCAAGTGTATGATCCTGGGGGGCACATCTTGTTATAGGGCAGAAAGGACACACTTAGATATAAAATACTGGCTTTATAGTATTTTGTATAAATTTTGTAAATTGTTGCGGGCACCTGGACCTTGTTGATGGGTTTCCCCACAGAATGTCTTAATTTCCCATATTGGTTGTGTCTTTTGAAAGGGAAGAAAATTAACACTGCTCTATGGTCTTTTTTTTTTTTTTTATAGAAGCTGTTCTAAATATTTTTATTTTTTTAAAAGATTTTAATTTATTTATTCATGAGAAACACAGAGAGAGGCAGAGACACAGGCAGAGGGAGAAGCAGGCTCCATGCAGGGAGCCCGATGTGGGACTCGAACCCGGGACTCCAGGATCACGTCCTGGGCTGAAGGCAGCGCTAAACCGCTGAGCCACCCGGGCTGCCCTAAATGTTTTTATTGTATATTTTTATCATTGTGAACATGCTGGAAATCTTTATAATAGCATTACAGATAAGTTTCTGTGAGAAGTAATTTAGGTGTTAAACTTGTAGACTCTTTTTGGTCTTGTAGTAAATTGTTTTAAATTGATTTTTCACCCAGATAGAGAGATGTCTGTTGTGGTTTATGAGGCTTTGGCTCCACCATACCTAGCTCTCCAACCTCATCACCACATTCCCCCTCCAACTGAACCCTCTTTCAGTTCTTTGATTTTGAACCTTGCCTCTAGGCCTTTTGCAGCAGCTGTTTCCTTTGCCTGGTTTCCTCCTCCTCATTCTACTTGCACTTTCCTGGCTAACTCTTATTTTGAGAATGTAAGTTAGGTACCTGCTTTGATTACTACAGGATTTTATATGTCCTGAAACTTAACGTGTTAAACTTAAAACTAAAACTGCAGGTTACTTTACCAGTGAAAGTGGGTTTATTGGGAAATAATAGAGAATTGCAATTCGGGACAAGCAAGCTATGGCAAACCACAGACAAGTCCCATAAACAAAAGAGAGGAACTTTGTTTTAAGAGAAGGAGGAAGTTAGGATGGATTATTTTGAAGGACAGCCAGCCCATTGGAGGGAAGTAGGAGTTGAGGGTGATGCTGTTTCTCAGTAGCTTAGTTGCAGAGATTGTAGACCCTTGTCAGAGATGCAGTATACACTTCTCCCTGTAGTGGCCTGTAATTGATGGTTTCCTTTTGAAGGTACTTCTGTTAGGGGGTCTGTAATTGACATTTCTTCTTGTAATTGACATAGGGTTGTGCAGCTCAGGGTTCCAGCCTCCCCTTCTAGCATACCAGGTAAACTTTAGCTGAGATTTCCCTTTATTAATTTTCACATATGAAAGGCAAGTTGTTGAACTTGATTCTTGAGGTCCTTTGCTACATTTTTACTCAGGGAATTCAGGGCCCTTTCTGACTCACCAGTATATCCTCATCGCCTGGAATATACATTGTACATTGAAAATGTTCAGGGAACGTGTGCTGAAAGAGGCAGTGGGAAGACTAATCAGTTAAAAACAGTGTGAATTGGGATGGTTACTGTGATCACAAGTCTTAGACTTAGGACAGTTCTGGTGGACCTCCTATTAATAATTCAGAGAATTCATGATCCTGCCAGGTAGGAGTTACTTTCACATGCAAGTCCTAATTCTTCTTCATTCAGATAAGAAACTTTGAAATTCTGCGAGTGGCCAATAATTACTGCAGGGTGATAATTCATCTTTGTGAATCATTCCGTATTTTGATTTTGTATCTGCCATATTACAGTGGTTCATATGTAAATTTTTTCCTGTAAGCCTTCAGAAAATCTCTTTAATGCTTCACTTGGAGTTTCTAAAAGATCTTATGTACAGGACATTGAGATCCAAAGGCTTAAATTATGATTTAGAAATACTTCAGTTCAGCATATCTCTGTTGGGCTCTGTGATGGCATAGTGAAAAGGTAGGAATGTATATCGACTTTGATTTCTTTCACTGTTTGCTCTTTAGCTTGTTGGTTAGGTCAAGATCATTATTAGTTATATTCAAGGCACTTTGGTTGTATCTAACAACTAGAACTAGACTAGCTCACAAAAAAAAGCAGTGGTATGTGGAGGAGGGCAGAGAGAAGTATTTGATCACTAGCATTTTAGAGAATTCAAAGCAATAAAGTTGACTAAAAGTCTGCTTTTTTATTGTCCCCATGATTTTTTTTTTCCTTAAAGATTTTATTTATTTATTCATGAGAGACAGGAAGAGGGAGAAGCAGGCTCCATGCTGGTAGCCTGACGTGGGACTCGATCCCAGGTCTCCAGGATCACGCCCTGGGCTAAAGGCGGTGCTAAACTGCTGAGCCATGCACCCTGCCCCATGATTTTTTTTTTTTTTTTTTTTTTTTAAGTATTAGAGCGTGCAGGAGAGAGCGAGCATGAGCAGGGTGAGGGGAAGAGGTGAGGGAGTAGTAGACTCCCCACTGAACAGGGAACTGGATGTGGGACTCGATTCTGGGACTCCAGGATCATGACCTGAGCTGAAGACAGAAGCTTAACCAATCGAGCCACCCAAGTGCCCCTGTCACCATGATTCTAGGCAAATAATCCATCCCACCTTAGATCTTTCCTACCAGCCTGATCTTGGTAGGTCACTGAGAAAAAGTATTTGTTATAAGTTCAGTCTCAGGACCCTGAGATCACAAGTCGAGCCAAAATCAAGAGTCGGACCATTTAACTGACTGGTTTACCCAGGTGTCCTTGAGTGCCTTTATTTTTACAAGTTTCTTTCTTTCTTTTTTTTTTTTTTTTGAGATATACCTCACATAACATGAAATTAACCATTTAGAAATGTATAGTTCACTATCATTTGCATCACCCAAAAAGAAATTCTGTACCTTTTAGCAATCCCTCCAATTGCCCCCTCCTCCATTCCCTGGCAATCAGTCTACTTCTGTTTTTGATTTACCTCTTCTGAACATTCATGTAAATGGAATAAAAATGTGGACTTCTATGTCTGGCTTTTCACTTAGCATAATATTTTCAAGATTCGACCATGTAGTTTATATCAGCACTGTATTCCTTTTTATGATTGAAAATAATATTCCATTGCATGGATATATCCTATTTTGTTTATCTGTTCATTCATGGATTGACCCTTGGGTTTCCACTTTTTGGTTATTGTGAATGTTGCTGCGGTAAACATCCATGTGGAAATTTTTGTGTAAATGTATGTTTTCAGGTCTCTTGGTAATACCTAGGAATAGGTTTGCTGGGTCATATGATCATTTTATATTTAATTTTTTGAGGAACTGCCAAACTTGTCCA